AACCCCCGAGACTGCCGCCCCCACGGCGCCCACCCTGCACCCCCGCCCACAGCCGTGCTCCCACCCAGCGCCCAGGGCCCGGGGTGGAGCCGGATCCCGCCCCGCGCAGCTGCGGCTGGGAGCAGGGGGCAGCCCAGGGGTAAAGGGGAACCGTCCCGCACGTGCATGTGCACAGCAGGGTCCCGTGCGAGTGCACCCACGTCTCTGTCCCTGCGCGAGCCCACGCAAGCCCCAGCTCATCCTCCCCGACCGCGGCACGGAGAGAGCACCCGTCTCTACCGCCCGTCTCCGTGCCGAAGGAACCGCAGCCCTCACGCCCGCAGTGTCCAACAGGTTATATTTATATTTGAAGGCCGAGGCCGAGGCCGAGCCCAGGCCCCCAGACCAGGAAGGAGGCAGCAAGGCTGGTTACAGAAGCCATGACATCCCCCACCCCCGGAAGGAGAGTCCGAGGGACGGTATCGACCTGTGAGAGCCCCCTGTGCCCACCCGGCTCCCCTCCATGCTGGCAACCAGAGACACCCCGACAGCAGCATAGCAAAGCCTCATCTCTTAGCCCCCCCGACAGGCACATGCCAGCTGTCCAAGGGGAAGGACCATGCCCCTCCACCAGCCTGCTCTACCCTCAGCCATCTGCGCCAGCCCTGGCTGATCAGAGCCGGCTTAGCCCCACCAGGCCTGGGGTCTCAGGGCGGGGTCCGGCCCACCCAGGAGGCTTGGAAGAGCAGTAGCCGTGCCCCCCACCCTCCTCAGCCAGCGCCAGGCCTTGCACCCGGCGGAGCAGCAGCCCAGAGAGCAGCGGGGCCAGTGGGCTCTGTGCTGGGGTTGGCTTCAGTTTGGTTTAATCCCCAGAAACACTCTCATGCAAAAAAACAGACAACAGAAACTGAGAGAGAGACACAGCAAGCAAACCCAGCCGGTGCCAGGCCCCGAGCCCGCGCCCCAGCCTGCAGAGGTGGGGGGGGTGATGGAGAGGGCTTGCCCCCCTGCCCCTCACCTCCAGGCTTGACCCTGGCATCGTCCTCTTGGGAAACGGGGGGAGGGCGGGGAGGGGGCCACGGAGCAGGAGAGAGATGCAGCATGCCACGCGCCCCGGGCCGCTCACGGCGCCTCGGCCTCGTCGTCCTCCTCCTCGTCCAGGGACACCACCCCGGAGGACGCCACGTCGGAGACTTTCCGGCGCCCCCCACAGCTGTCCCCGTGCAGCTGGCATGGCGTGTGGGAGTCCTTGCCCACCACCTCCTCGTCCTCCGTGGGGGACAGGCAGGACTCGGTGTAGGACATGGAGTACATGGAGTCCTGGCAGTCCAGCTGTGCCAAGCTCCGGAAGGCACTGTGCCCAGTCTGTGGGGGCAGCTTGGCAAAGAGCAGCTCGTCGCCACCGGCCACGGCGCCCAGCAGCTTGGCGGCCAGCTCGGCCGGCGAGGCCAGCTCCTTGAGGATGAGGCTGTCCTCCAGGCTGCAGAGACTCGAGCACAACGTCTCGGGCGAGATGGTCTGAGAGGAGTCGGTCTCGGGCTCGCAGGAGCCCTGCCGCCCGCCCAGCTGGCCCAGGCGGTTGTGAAGCAAGTCCTTCAGGAGGGAGCCGGGCGGCAGCTGGCCCGCGGCATCTGCAACACACACGGTGGGGCGGGCACGTTACTACGGGCACCTTGGCCAGCTGGGGCGCAGGCTCGCCCCTGGGCCTGGCACCACAACCCCTGCCAGGGGCACGGCCCTGGGTACCCAGGGGTTGCCTGTTGCCCCTTGCCCCCAACCCATTGCCACCAACATGGCTTCCCCTCCCCCCTGGCACTCCCTTCTTCCCCGGCTCAGCAGCAGCCAGCTCTGGGCACAGCTGTGGGGGGGCCCCACATCGCTGGCGTTGGGGGCATGCAGCCGGGCATAGCCCAGCCCCGGAGGTGTGCAAATGCCGAGCCGGCCAGGTCAGGGCCGTGTCACAGGCCAAGGCCGGACTCTAGAGACCTGGCAGCGATGCTGCTGCCAGCCCGTCACAGAAACCATTGCAACAACCGACTGATGGGCCTCCAGCAGGGCTGGGCCAGGCTCCCACCCCAGGGCCATGGCTCGGCAAGCTGTGCGCACTCGGCACAGCCCCTGCCCCAGCTGCCCCCTCTGCTCCCTCTATCTTGGCATGGGCAGCACCACGGCTCCTGGATACCCCAGGGATGCACAGAGCCGGGGGCTGCGCTCAGGCCTCCCCACAGCCGCATGCAGAGGGTGCAGATGCCCCATGCACTTCCACCCACACGGCAGGCAACCAGTGGCCCAAGGCAGGAGGGAGGCTGAGGCCATCCCCTGGGAGCTCTCTGTGAAAGGAAAGACCGCTGACTCGAGGCACTCTCAGGGCTGCCAGCAGCCAAGCTGCCCTGGACCTGGGACACCGGGGGTGGGAGAGCTGGGGTGGCCCATGGCTGGACGAGCTGAGGCTGCAGAGCAGGCAGGGATCCTGCCCCACTGCCCCTCCCTCATGCCCCGGACCCCTGCCACGGCCCTGCCAGGGGAGGCCTGGAGCCCATGGCATGGGCACAGAGCCCACTGCTGAGCAGCTCCCGTGCCCTGCACCATGCCTGCAAACCCAGGCGGAGCAGGTGTCCCCATCCCCTGCTCTTCCCCCTCCCTCACAGTAGCGAAAAGTAATTAGCCCGTTCGTCAGGCAGATTATTGCTGACGGCTTTGATATGCAAATGGCCCAAGATTAGTCGGCGTCTAATTACTGCGAGAAAAGGCCTTTGTTTGCACGGAAGGACACAGATTACACGCCTGGCCAGGCCACGTGTGGGTGCTGCCGCGTGTGCCAAGGCACGAGGGTCGCGGCAGAGCTGAGCGTGCGGTGCCAGAGCGGCCGGGCACCTGTGGGAAAGAGGCAGCTGAGAGCCTGACACCCACGGGCAGCCTTGGCCCCGACAGCGCAGCTCAGCACCTGGCGCTGTGGGGCTGGATGGCGGCAGCTCAGGGGAAGAGGGGATCCCTGGGTCTCTGGCAAGCCTGTGTCCAGGAGCGGGTGCTGCGCTGCACAGAGGGACCAGGGCTCCCCCCCATGCCCAGTGTATGGCCCGCGGGCCGTCGGGGTCTGCCTGGCCCTGGGAGCAATCACAGGCTGGGGCTGCAGCATTGACTCCAGGGGGTGGGGGGCACCATCCAGGCAACCCCCAAGTCCGTGCCCCGCTAGCTACACTGTGGCTGGTGATACCCATGCCCCGACGCCTGCTCCTCACCAGCTGGCTGGGCGCTGTCGGTGCTGATGGCGAAGTCCTCGTCATAGGACTCGTCGTTGGAATCGTCCCCGTCCACAGACGACCAGGCCCGCAGCTTGGCCTCCGCGATGGCGAACTGCTCCGCTACCCCTGGGAGTGCGGGGAGACACCTGTCAATCATCCGCACCTAGCAAGGGGGTGCTAAGGAAGGGGGAGGCACTGCATAGCCGGGCACTTGCCTGGGCTGCTGGTGCCTGGCATGAACATCAGGACAGCCTGGCACACAGGGTGCCATCAGGGTCATGCCCAGGAGAGGCGATGGCTGCTGAATGTGCCTCCAGCCCTGGTGATGGGAGCAGGGGATGAGACAGGGTAGCAGAGCAAGGGTCTACCCCCACAATCTGGAGGATCCCAAAGCAAAATACAGCTCCCCTCTGCTCCCCAGCCGGGCACCAGGCCCCTGGTGTGAAGGTGCCAGCACTGCACAGCGGGAGAAGGAGTGGGTGGGGGGCACCTGGGGCCTAAGGACAGGGTGACGTCTCCACACCAGGCAGGATGGGCCCTTTCGTCATCAGCGCTCTGCCAACCCGGCATTAAGGCGCCTCTCGAGTGGCTAATTCGGGGCTGCAGCTCCCTCTGTGCGTCACCGCCCCACCATTTGTGGCGGGGGGACCTACTGTGGCACCCCTGGCGTTAGCACCAAGGCACAGTCCTGGCTTGGGGTAGGAAAGGGGTCCCTAGACAACACCCCTCCCCAGGCACACCAGGCCCCACTGGCTGGCCAGGCCCGCCTGCGAAGGCATCTGGGGGGGCTATTGCAAAGGCTTCTGGGAAGGATCTAGGGCCTGCTCAGCTCTGGGCTTCGCTCAGCCGGGGGGGGGTCTTCTCCTTGCCCCATCACAAAGTCCTGGCATCTCCCCTAGCAGAGGAGCTGTGCTCTGGGCCACAGCTCCACCCTAGGCCACGGTGCCAGCTTGGCCATGTGGACGTGCCATGCTCAGGAGCCCTGGGAACCTGCCAGCATGGCTCCCTGGAGAGGGCAGGAGAAAGGGCATGGCCAAGAAGGGACAATGCTGGCTGCAGGAGGGTGAAGGCTGGGAGTGACCTGTGCAGCTAGTGCCTGGGCTCCCAGCCGGCCCTGGCATGGAAGCCACCTCCCTCGGAGGGTGGGCACTGGGACTGCCCTTCCTGCCCTGCCCCCAAGCTCCCAGACTGGCCACTGAAACCGTGGCCAAGCTCCTAGGGGCTTTTAGAAACAAATGACCTCATACAGCCATACCCAGTATGGCACACACCACGCACTGCACTGCACTGCACTGCACATGCCATGCACCACACTGCACAGGTTGGCACCCACTGCACAGTACTGCCTGTGTCTGCATCTGTGTCTGCATCCACTGCACAGCACTGCACATGGCATGGGCTGCACAGCCCTGCCCAGGCCATATGCTACACTGCACAGATCTGCACCCACTACACAACATAGCACTGCCTGTGTATGCACCTGTTGCACAACACTGCACGTGGCATATGCTACACTGCACAGGTCTGCACTCACTGCATGGTGCAGCACGCACCACACTGCAGGTCGGCACCCACTGCACACAGCACCTGCTGCACTGCACAGGCCTGCACCACTGCACAGCACTGCACATGACACACACTACACTACACAGGTCTACACCCACTACACAGCACTGCCCACACCACACACTGCAGGAGTCTGCACCCAGTCTACAGCACTGCATACACCATGCAACACACTACACAGGTCTGGACCCATTGCACAGCAAAGCACATGCCATGCACTGCACTGCACTGCACACTGCAGTACAATACCATGTGCCTACCCCCTGGGCACACTGCACACACCCCTGAAAACTCTGCACTGAACCGCACTCCGCATGACACCCCCCACCCCAGTGATGCCTGGATCTGCACACCCCCGGCTGGCACTGCGCAGGCCTGCAGGCCCCTTTGCAAAAGCTGCACAGAACTACACAGCCATGCCCAGCACTGCACACGCCATGCACCACACTGCACGCCTGCCCCACACCTGGCACAGCACAGCCTTGCACAGGATGGCACCCACCAGCACTCTGTGCACACGCACGCACACGCCCTCCACCACACTGCGCTCCCAGCTGACTCATGGCTGGGGCACATCCCCCCTCCCTGCGCAGCTCTGGGGCGGCCGGCCCGGTGCTGGGCTGTGCAGACGGATGCTCCAATCAGGCCTGGTGAGCTCCATGCTGTAGCTTCCCTGCACTCCACCCTGTGGCCCCCTGAGGCAGGCTGGGCTCCGTGGTGACAGCCACGTCCCATGACAGCGCACTTGAGTGACAGGGCTGCAGCGGGGGATACTGGGAGCTGCCTGAGCAGGGTGCATCACCCCACCCTGTGCACAGCCAGCAGCCCCAGGGGAGGTGCTGATGTTGTCCGTCCTTCCCAAGCATCTCCCAGCCCCGCGGGGCTCCCAGCAATGGAGGGGCAGACAGAAGGACCCTCCATGAATCCCCCCTCCACCCCCGGGAGGCTGGGCCCTGCTCTGCTGTGGCCACCCAGACCCACAGACAACGGGCACCAGAGACAGCAGAAAGCAGGGTGGGCTTGTGCAGGGGAGCCTGACTGGGGGGCTGGGGGTGGGCAGTGCCCACTGTCCTGATCCCTGGGTCGGGGCAGCACAGCCATGCCCAGAGACTCAGCCCTCAGGATCTGGGGGAAATGAGGGGATGCCCCCAACCCTCCTCCCTCCATCCCTGCTGGGCCCAGACAGGGCAGGGCACTCACCTCTTGCCACTGCTTTAGGGGCAATGGGGCACCCCCACCCCCTCACCAGGACGGAGGAACGCCAGGGACCCCTCCCCGGCAGGCAGGCCCCCCAGCCCTGCCCCACCTGCCCTGCCCCAGCCGGTGCCCCACCTGCGGCAAAGCGGGCCTCCTGCTCCCCTTCGCTCAGGTCCGAGTACGAGTTGAAGGCGCTCTCCAGAGCCACAGGCGAGTCCACGGGCTTGCACCAGCCCTTCCACTCAATGAGGTGTGCCACACGGCCCTGCGCCATGGCCGTCGGCTTCGTCACGTGGTCTTTCACCACCTGCGAGATACCTGCGGGCAGGCAGCAGCATCAGGGGCCATGCCTGGGTGGGGCACCCACCCCGTGGCACAGCCATGTCCCCCCTCCCAGGGGGATCCCCCATCCCATGAACCACTTCCAACCCCACCCCACAGAGCTACCCGCCCTCTCCAAGCGCTCGCACACCAGCATCTCCCATGCCCTACAGACCCCCTCCCCTGGCCTCTCCCTGTGCCCCCCCAGACACTGCACCCCTGCCGCACACCCACGCGTGCCCCCATGTGTTACCGTGTAGGGAGGAGCGGGCCAGGGCAGCAATCTCCTGGATGGTGAGGGCTCGCCGGGACTTGGGTAACATTTCGACAGTGTCTTCAACATTTACCTTGAGCCAGAGGAGAAGGAGGGGTGAGACCCAGCCCATGCCAGCCCCCCCCCCCGCCATGGGGCTGGGCTGGCACACAGAGGGGGAGGGCTGTGGGGAGAGGGGGCAAGGGGGCAGCCAAGCAGGTGGGACTGAGGGCCTGTAAGGTCCTACAGGACACCACCGACAGGAACCCAGGAGTCCCGAGTGCCACTGAGTACCCACCACTGGACCACGGGCCTCCACTGCCTCCAAGGGCAGAGCCTCCCGGAGGGTAACAACTTATTACTGCTTCTGTTGTACAGCATGCAGTGGGACGGGGGGCTGAAATCCGCCCTGGCACCCACTGGACTCAGCTTGAAGCAGGAGGGGGAAAAAGATCGGTGTTTGAAGGGGTTTCTGCCCTTAGGGCCTGACAGCCCACAGCTGCGGGGTACAGCCCAGCAGCGGTGCCAGGCCAAGCTGCCCAGGCGCCAGCTTCTGCACGTGTCTTGTGCCCCAGCTCTTCCCTGCTCACAGCCTGGCTGCCCCTAGCTCCATCTGTGCCCAGTTTGGGGCTGCGCCAATATGAGGCTGTTGGGCTAACACTGCACCCACCCCCATGCCGATGGCAGGTCCCAGCCTGACATGGCAGGAAGAAGCGAACGCCGAGCAGGGGAGGCCGGAGCTGGGGCGTGAGCAGCAGCACACGGGTCACTGAGGACGGTCTTGGGAGGGACACACACTCATGCAGCATACACACGTGTCCGCTGTGCATACATATATGTGCACATGCATGCAGGCAACGTTCGCATGGCAACACAATCTCTCCCACTGTATGTGTGCGTGTGTAGTTGTGAACCCAGTATTGAGATACACCCTCCCACAATCAATGCATGTACTCCTGCAAACATGCTACAGACACGCGCATACACATGTGCAGATGTCCTCCCTGACATCATGTTGTCACCAGTGTACCGGAGAGGTACAGCTTCCCCTGCTAGCCAGTCACTTACACACCCGTGCCGGGCACACCAGCTCCCAGGCTGTGCACGCGTGAGGCACATGCAGGCAGGATGCCCTACGTTCACACTGTATATGTGCACCCACACTGTTGCAGTCTCCCACGGTGTCTGGGGGCGGGCAGGCGCAGACATGCCCCCACACACGCGCACATGGGAGTGACACACCAGTGATGCATGCACACGCCTACTTGCTCCAGCTGCCCCATGCCCCAGAGGCCACACCAGGCAGAGGGGGGAAGACCCCCAGTCTCATGATACTGTGTGACCTGGCAGGGTCATCTCTGTTGCCCCCTCCAGCCAGAGGCTCCCACACAAGCCTCGAGTGCTATCGCCAGGCCCAGCCCAGGCACCCACCCGGCCCACGGGCACAGGGCAGGGGAAGCGCACACGGCACAGGGCCTCCGGGGTGGCTGCGAAGAAGCTCAGCATGCCCAGACCCTGCAGCCCCAGCCAAGCCCTGCCCCCAGCCCAGGGCACGACTCTCCCACCCCGCGCATGTGGCAGGGCAAGGGGCAACACCAGCTGCCCTGACAGGGAGACAGCAAGAGCACAGGCTGCACCAGGCACCCGCCACTGCTGCCACTTGCAGCCATGGGCCTGTCGCTGCAGGAACAGCCCTGGGTGCAGCTCCGACCTGGTGGCAGCGAGTTCAGCTCAGCTCTGGAGCGGCTCCCGGCGGCCCCCGCCCGCCAGCCCTGCAGGGAGCCCTGTGGGCACTGCCCAGCCCCTGCCTGCCGCTGGCGGCTGCTGCCTCCCTGGGAAGCTGCTCCGGACGTGTAGCTTGCAACAAGGTGTATTTCCATGGCAACCAGTCACCATGGACTGATTTCTCCCAGGATACAGGCGGGCTCGGCACTGACGTCAGCGCAGCCCGGGAGGGGAGCACGCGGGGAGCCAGGCGAGGGCACAGGGTGCAGAAGGCGGGAGCAGGTGGGCTGGGCACTGCTGGCGGCGGAGGGGCAGGGGCAAAGCCCCCCGGTGCCCTACTGTACCAGCGGCAGGCTCGTGGTCCACTGACACCACTGGTCCCCTCCTTGTGACCCCTGCCACGGTGCAAGGCTGACTTCATGCCAGCCCTGGCCGGGCAGGAGAAATCAGCCAGTCCCAGGGGAAGAGATGCCCGGCCAGGCCATCACAGCCCCCAGCCTCCATGGACACACCAGTGCGACGTGGCAGCGACCCCTGCCCCTTCCCATACCCTCCTGCCCTGCAGCCACCACGACTCCCATGGGCTCTGGAGTCCCAGCTGCCAGCGGTGGGGCTCACTTGCAAGTGGTGCGGGGGGCATGAAGCTAGGCAGGAGCTGGGACTCGGGCTTTGCCTGCAGCGGAGATGGGCACCGGGCCAGCACCGGCCCAGCCCAGCTGTTGCCAATTGCCTTGGTGCCAAGCATCCGCAGCAGCTGCCCTGCATTGGGTGCCCACGCAATGTCCCCCAGCCTGAGGAGCAGGGCACTGTGCTCATTCATGCTGCCTGGTGCTGCGCCCCGGGGCTGGGCCCATCTCACCCCCGACACACAGGGGCCGGGGGGCAGCGAGGCAGTAGTGTGGAGGGGGCTGCAGGGCCGGGCCTCACCCCTGCTATCGCTGCCATGGATGCCCAGGGAATGAAGGGCCCGGGCAGACTCTGGCAAGGGAAGACATGACAGCCCCAACCACAGCCACTGCCTGGAGCAGAGGCCCCTGCCAGCCCCACCTAAAGGTCGGACAAGAGCTAGACCGGCACCAAGCTGGCTCTGTGGCTGGGACAGGACAACACAGGCTTCGGCAGCACTGTCTGGGTCAGGGGAGAGGTTGGGAGTTATCATGGGTGATGGGTAAGGGGCACAGGGAAACTCAAGGAGCATGGATCAGCCCAGCCCCATCAGAGCCTCAGCTCTTGCCCCCACACCCCTGGGCACACCCCCCCAGAGCCGGCACAATCGTGCCAGATGCCCAGCAGCTCGGCAGGGTGGGTGCACAGGGCACTCAGGGGAGCAGGAGGCTGCTCGTAATGGGCAACAGCTCCAGGATGGGCAGGAGCACGGGGAGCTGTACGCTCTGCACGGCCTCACCAGAGAGCAGGGAGCTGGCAGCTCGAACCCTCCAGCTCAGAGCCAGACCTCAGGCCAGCCTGGATCGGGCAGGGCGGGGATGAGGGATCCCCACGCAGAAAGCCTGGGGGAAGGGGAAGCGAGTTCAGCAGCATGATGAAGTGGGCCAGCCCCCCAGGGACCCAGCAGCCAGCGCCGGCCTGCCCTGGTCGTGTCCTTGCCAGCCGCATGCCCTCATCTAATTGCTCTCCCAGCAACCGTGACCGGGGCAGCCCAGCCTGGCCCTACCCCATGGTGCTGCACCTCCTAGCCAAGTCTGACCCTAATACCAGATCCACGCCACCCAGCCTAGCCCTCTACCCCAGCCCCATGCCCACGAGCCCCTGCTCTCAGCCAGGCTAAGGGGGGCTGCCAGTCAGTTACTTGGCTGTGATGCCCGGGGACACTGCCCAGTGCCTAGCACTGCCCTAACATGGCCCAAGTGCCTCTCAAAAGGCCCATGGCCAGGCTGGACCATCTGGGGGGGTTGCAGGCATGTCAGAGATGGGGCTGCTGTGATTCACATGCTGGAAATCCCAGTGGGAGTCGGGGGGGCTGGAACCAAAGAGCACAGGAGCTGCCGGCTGGCTCAGGGCACGAGCCTGGATGTGCAGAGTGGCTGCTGGGGGCCGGGGGGGGCCGCAGGGAGCACAGGACCCATCCAAACTGCTCCACCCCTCCCTAACTCTGTCTCACCCCCTCAGCCTAGGACCCCAAGCAAGCACACACCCGGGGTCCCCTGCAACAAAAGATGCAGGGAAGTTGCGGCCCTCCCCCCACCCATCCTGCACCCACCTCGAGAGAGTCCTGGCTGTCCAACGAGCTGTGGCGAGCCAGGCGGTGCACCAGCGAGGTCCGGGTGCTGCCCACGGGTGACAGTGCACGCAGGGACTTCACCTCGTTCCACTCCACGTGCAGCCTTGTGTCCACGGCCACTGTGGGGAGAGCACAGCGGGGTGTCAGCACCGGCACTCTGCGGCCACGGCCCCACCAGGCCTGGGGATCAGGCCCCGGTGACACCTGCAGAGAGGGCAATTCCCCTGCAAAGCAGAGCATCCCCATGCACACACATGTACCCGCAAAGCACACACATGCCAGGCACGTGCAGACACAGCCAGGCAGGATCTCAGTCCTGGGCACCTGGCGCCAGTGGCAGCACCCCCTCCAGCATCCCTGGGCAATGCCAGGTGACTGTGAAGCCCCCTCGCCAGCCAGCAGGTTCCACCTGTTGCCACCCCCAGCTTGGCCCAGGCCTGAGATTAGGACCTCTGCACCCCACTAG